ATCTATTTTCTGAATTGAATATAAGAATTAGTTTCATGATTTTCTAAATATAGATAAATTAGTAATATCAAATAGATAATAAAACTGTCTTACCATATAATCATTATTAAAATTTTTATTTATTTTTTTTTTGTTAATTTTTATAACTACAAAGAACTAACAAACATTTATTTTTTTTTTGTAATTGTATTCTTAAATTTGATACACAAAATCATTGTATAATATTAATATAAATAAAATATATTAATGATTAATAGTTATATTTTGTATAATATGATAATTGATATGACTATTAAGTTCATTATTATACCTTATTCTATAGATAAACCTAATATTTTTTTAATTATATTTAATTATACAAATCTAAATAAAATCCTGTTCTCATCTTTTTATAATAGAAATAATATACATACTCATCATAAATTTTATAGTTTTGTATTTGTAATTAACCTGATCAACTTCACTTATATACTGAAATCTGTTTATTTGTTAAATGACCTTTTAGAAATATTAATACTTGAACCATTCTGTGAGTCATATATAACACAACTTCTAACTTTATTTTAACTATACATAATATTATTTAGATAAGTTTTTGACTATTTTAGTAGGTTTAGGTTACAAATAAATTAGATTTATTTAATTGTCTAAATTTTTTTTCTTGTATCAAAATTTTCTTTTTATTTGTATTAATACAAATAGTAGAAATATATATATTGCTTATATATTATTATTTTATAAACTACTTAATAAAAACAAGCAAGACTTTATTTTAAAAAAAAACAAAAACAAAAAAAAGATAAATTTTTTTTATTTTAGTAAATTTAAATATGTCTGCATTTTTATTTTTAAATGTAATTTTTTATCTTTGTATTTAAAATTTAGTTATATATATAATTAATAGTTTAATGATTAATTCTAACTGCAAGTATTGATCTTAATCATAGCATTTATATAAAATTATTTTTCATACATAATAACTCTATATAGTTACTAACTTCATAAATATATAAGCAAAACCACACCTTAATACCAAAAAAAACAATAATAAAATATAAATTAAATTATTTCTTTTGCTTTTTAAATAAGAATTTATAAGAACTTGCAAGAATAAATACTTTATCTAATATATATTTTAGAAAAAGTTGACCGTTTAATCAGAGGATCGTGCAACTAACCTTTTATATCAAACTTATGTACCGCGGCGGCTGTGGCGCAAATCATCTGACTGAACTTTTGGTAGTCTCCCTGGTGCACTCTGTATCATACACTCCGTGTACAATTATAAATTTTCTTATGCTATTAGTTATGTTTAGGTTTTGCTATAATTATAGTAAAATTTCATGAGAAAAACTTCTTGCTAATGTGCAAAATGCAGTTTCATAAGCAAAATTTTAAATTACATGTGTGTTTTTGTTATTTTAGCGTTTGTTCATTACGCATGATTTGAATTCTGTATCTATTTAGGGAAATAATGATTGTGCAAGGTAGAAATCGTTCTAAATTTCATTAAATTTAAGGGTTCGAAAGCTTGATCGATTGATCAATCAAAAATCATTTTTGATAATTTGATAATTTTATTGTGGTTTGTAAAATTTTATGAATTTAGCAGGTCATTAAAAATAAAACGCTCATTGTTAGACAATTTCAGGTTCTTTGTAATACGTATAAGATTATTCACATCATACTTTATCAAGGTCAGCAAATATACTATTTTATCAAGTCTTATGTAACATTAAATCACAGAAATCAAAATTCCCTATCAGCTGATTTTTGGAATAAATCCAATCATGGAATCCTGATATTGGATTCTAGACTCGTTGGAATCAAAGTAATCATTTGGATAGAAAAATTATCTAAAAGGGACCAGTGGATCAAAAGTTATTCACTGTAAAATTATATATTAGTATTACGTACTTCCAATATTATTCACTTGTTTCCAAATGGCATTGATAGTTATTAAATTTCGAAAATTTCCGCTAAATTTAGTATCTTTTATTCTTTACAAATTTTTGGTTACTCGGTTTAGATTTTTTTTTTTTTTGTTACGTTAAAGTTTTGCCATTTATTATCATTACTTTTTAACTTATATTTAATAAATTAATTATAGAAAAAAAGGTTCCATTAAATTTTAAAAATTAAAATGCATATATAATTATATATGCAAATACATATGTAATACGTATATGATTTAAACTTAGTTGTACAAAAGAATTGTTAACTTAATTTATATCTTAAAATGTAGTGGATGTTGTATATTAGTAGAGGTTGGATTCGGATACTTTTATAATCATCCGTTGATATTTTTTATAAATCCGGATATCCGAACTTTTTTAAATTTTAGATTCGGATAGTATCCGGATACTATTTAGATAATTTTAATATGCCATTTTGTGCTAGTTATATAATTATACTATATTGTTCTTAAAACTTAATACACTATTTATTTTAAATGTTTGATATTTAAGTAAAAATATACATATAATCTTAAATAAATACATATGCAAAAATAAATAAAAAATTTATACTTAGATTTTCATATATTTTCATTAATATTTTAAACATATTTATCTAAACCATACCCCTAATAAAGTTTTAAATAATACTTATTTATATTATATAACTAATTTTGCCAAATCGAAATGGATTCTATATATTTTATATTTCTTTTTAAAAATATCCGGATTGTATCCGGATACTATCCGGATATTACCTGCCACATTCGGATACCCGAAAACTCCTATCCAGAAACTGAAATTAAGATTCGGATATCTGGATAGGTCCCAACCTCTATATATTAGTAAATGATTTCATCCTTTATGTTCATATGTTCAGATTTTTTATTGAAAACTATTTGCTCTCAGAGTTATCGGGTAGAAGACTATTAAGAAATTTCGGTATGTTTGCGTTTAAATTTTGCTTTTTTGAGAGCATAAAACATTTATAAATGAAGCTTTTTCGTACTTCATGTATAATTTCTATAAATGCACTGATTATAATCTCACCGACATTTTCTAGTTGATATCTAAAATGTTGAAGAATTTTGATAGCAATTTTATGATTTAGTTTAAATCCTAAATCAATAAATTCGTTAAGTTGTGCAACAACAGTTTCAACATTAGGGTGTTGAGTTTGTGAGAAGATATTGTTAAGTACTTCTTGTATTACAAGATCACTAAAATCCTCGCAGATTTCTTGGTAGCCAATTTTTTTCCACAAAAGTATAAGATCTTTACGGAGAAAGATTGACCTTGCAATAATTCGACGATTTCTATATGACGGCAATGGAATAAACTTCATGCGCAATATCAAAGATTTGATATTTTCGATATTTTCATCTAAAATAAGTGGCGCATGATTAGAACCTCCGGAAAAATTATAAAAATCCTTCATATCATTTCCATTTTGATACAAATCATCTTTAAATGTATCATATGCTTTGTTTAATAAAAACATAAAAATATCAGGCGACAAATTTTTGACCCAGGAAGTTTTTTTGTCGTTAATAAGCCATTGAATAAGGTATCTTGAAAGGATCCCACCTTTTAAAATGATTGTTTGGGCAACAGCGACATTGATAAATGTAGAACCCAAGCGAATTGAATGAAAGAGACAGTGGGCCAGTCCGAATTTGTGTATAATCCATTCTGCCTTTGCATGATGGTCTCTAGCTATAATAGACCATTGTTTACAGCTAGTAGCTAGATTCTTAGGGCTCTCCACATGTATAAAAATATTTATCATGGTTTCAATGGGCAATCCATGAAAATAATTTCTTTGAACAATTTGAGCCATTTTTGTCGCCTATAATGATTAACATATAAATTATATTTAATTAACGTTAATGTTTAGATGCCGTTTATTTCACCAACCATTTCACTGACAGCGACATCACATAGGATTAGGATTAGCATTTTATTAGTTGCTGGTATATATTTTAATAAATTGTTACTTGGTGTGATGTTAGCTAAATGAGCTGTCGGTGACATAGACCTTTTTTTAGAATATGGTGCCAGAAGCTTATACCCTATTTCGACATTCTTGTGCATATTGCGCCAAAAACGACAACATTTTTTAAAACGCTAAAACTTTTTAAAAACAAATGTTTTTAAAAAAATTGACTGATAACTTTATACGCAGGAATGAGCTCTACAAAACTATCGGTTAATTTTTTAAAAAAAACACATCTGTAGAAAGTTATAGCTGTTCGAAAAAACCCAAATCTTCAAATCGGTATGATTCTTTATAGGAGAAATTAACTGATAACTTTGTAGAGCTCATTTCTGTGTATAAAGTTATCAGTTAGTTTTTTAAAAAAAATTTGACTTTAAAAAATTTTAGCGGTTTAAAAAATGGCATCTTTTTTGGCGCAGTATGCGCAAGAATGTCGAAAACATTTCATGTGATTGTCGGGTATAAGCTCCGGCACCATAAATATAAAATTTACCTTAATTAAAAAAAGAGGAAGAAAAATCTTCTACTCCTTATATAAAACAAAACACTTAAAAAAAAAGAGAGAATAATACTTCATATTTATAAGTTTACTTTTAGTAGTACAATCTATACATTTAAATTATTCCTATTCCTTCTAAATCGTCTTGTCAAATATGTTGTGCAAAGATCTCTATTATCTAACCGTCCTTGAAATTGGCCAATTTTTTTACGATTTCTACCGCTACCGTTTGTTTATAATGTACGTACATCAATAAGTGAGGGTTGTTAAATTACCAAAAACATAACGATAAGTAATTTAAAAATAGATTTTCTTAATAAAATCTCGTGTAACACTGGCTCGTATGGTCATTTTACTAGCAAAGATCCCAAGTAATAAGTAAACATCAATTAAATAAAAAAATTGGCCAACTTCGTGGACAAAATTATTTTAGGATTTATTTTTAACCACCCTTGAAATTTCACAGGAAAACCTTATAATATTAGAGAATTTAGGAACTTATACCCGGAAATTAAACTGACAGCTTCTTAATTCTAGAAAGCAAATTTTACATATAAAATTTGGGTGCGTCGATCACTATGCTTCTATGATATTTTTTCTTGCTTATTGCCAAGATCTCAGATTCGACTGATCCGAAGTTTTTATATTTCTTTTTGATTATATCTTTTTAATTTTTACGAATTTTTTAAACTAATAAAGTTCCGAAAAGTTAAGTTGTTGGCTAAAAAAAACAAACAAAAAAGTGAAAGCAAATGAAAAAAAGGTTTGTACTCCATAGCCAAAAATAAGATCTAATTCTCGTCCGTTTAAAAAAGTTAGTATAATAATAACTTCCCAAAACCCGATAAAATCAATTTATTACTAAGCTAATTTTTAAACGAATTAGATCTTATTTTTGACTATGGAATAGAGTTAATTAATACTTTACTATGTTTTACTATAAATTTTTAACAAAATGTCAATCCGGATATATTTATATCCGGATTGAATCCTACAGCTCTAATGAAACCTTCTATATGGGGTCTGTGCTTTGAAAACGACATACGTAGTATTTACTATGTCCCATAACGTTATTTTCAAGGCACAGACCCCATATGTTTTTTTTTTTAGTTGATTTTCGGTTTTTTTTTTAAAAAAAGTATTCTAAACTGTATAAATAATGTAAAATTAAAATTTGAATTTATTAACCAATCGGACGAACTTCTACCTATGAAGTGGCCATTCTGTCATTATCCAATCACAGACCTACATCTAATTTTTGATTATTATCCGCTTTCTGATAATATCATATTCTTATTCCATTTTTGATTACGTATTATCCGCTTATTTCATTCTAGTATATACATGTGGTCGAAATGTTTCGACCATTTCGGCCACTTGGCAAATTTTCAAAGTAAAGTTATCAATAATTTGTAAATATGATAGAAATTAAGCTTCATATATGTTAAGCTAGATCCGCAATATCTTATGCAAGCCCTTTTTGTATTTCGGCAAGACTTTTTGGTATTTCGG